TTCCTCATCACTAAATGATTTCACACCTTAACTTTTCGGTGCTGTAGCTCAGTCTTGCAGCACTTCCTTATTGTGATCTGACTGCTCTAATCTGCTCATTACAGCTTTGTTTTTTCTGTGCCTGTTGATAAAGTAATTCACACTTAATTTTTTATTAGACACAAAGAGGCAAACCTCTCTGTCTGCCTGTCCTCATCACCCAGAAACCAAACACAAAAAGAAGCAATTCTAGCTATAATCATTGCTGCTGGACTGAAAAACTTTTATCTCCAAAATGTAAGTTCTCAGACGAAAGAAAAGTAGTTTTTACTAAATGTACAAGTTACAAGTATCTATCTGATGCTGTTAATTTAAAAATATATTGTTAAAATCACAGACAGATGTAAAGGGTGCTAAATAGAGTTGATTTAAAAAGAAACAAAAAAAGGTTAACAAAAAGGGAAATACAATTTTTTAGCAGCAGCGCCTGTGGAAGGTTTTACTTCTAGAGTTGCAGCAGGAAGTCCAGTCTTTGATAGGCCTCAATCTGGTTCAGGGGGGTGAGGTAGTGTGAGGGAAGTTCTCCGGAAGTCCACCATCATCATGTTGAACAAGTTAAGGTCCAGGTGGTTTTGACCCCACCTTCTGTCTGTATGCAGAATGCTCATCATCCTCAATCAGACCAATGACAGTGATGACACCTGCGGACCACAGTTTCACAGACAGCTGGTGGCTCCACTGAAGTCCTGTCGTTGGTGTTTGAAGGAGAAGAGGAGGGACCAGAGAACAAACCCCTGCGGTGGTGCTGTTGGTTCTTGTGCAGCAGAAGATGTCCTCTAGTCCCACCTGCTGCTGCAGGTCAGTCAGGAAGCTGATGATACACTGACAGATGAAGGCCATAACTTTGAGCTGAGGGAAGTTCTGGTGGATATCTGAGTTGATGGTGTTGAAGGCCTGTCAAAAGCTCAGAATATAGTACCCAGAATTCGAGGCAAGAAAGCCAGTGGGAAGAGTCAAAATGTTTATTTAAACAGACCAGAAACACAGAGCTGTGGATCTGCAGGAGCTACAGGGACAGGCGGTGCACCATCCATCACTGGCAACTCTGGTTTAGGGAGAAACAGAGGTAAGTGACCAAGATAATCTTGTGATGATTATCCATGTGAGCCATTTACATGGTTTAACAGTTCAGTCCATCCTCTTGAGTGAGGAAGGACCCAGCCTAAGCACTGCCAATGAGATGCGGTGGGAGCTGCCAAAAGTTTTCCCGATGCAGCAGCCTCAGCGAACAAGCATGAATCTGGTCCAGGTCAGGGAAACAGATCAGAACAGGAAGGCTCAGATCCAGGAGTCTGCAGCCCTGTCAGGGGTTTCGATCAGAACAGGAGCACACTCATCCAAGGTTCAAGGAATCCACAGAGTGTTCAGGAATGTTCAGGGTTCCATCAGTCCAACAGCGATTTCAGGTAGAGAAGTTCAGATGGAAACATGTAGGCTCAGTAGTTGAGAGGCAGAAAAAGACATGATATCAGGAAAACTATGGAACGTTAAACTACCTCCCTCCACTGAGCTAGAACAGGAACAGGGCACGCTCAGTGGATAAGAGCAAGGACTACAGAACTTTAAACTAGCTTCCTCTTCTGAGCCAAAACAGGATCAAGGCAAAAACCCTCTCTAAACAATGAGCTGAGCTGTACATAAAGCAGCAGGAGCAGGTGGATGAGATGAGTGATGATTAGTAAAGGGGCAGAGTGGCAGGTGAGTGAAATGAACAATTAGGTCAGCTATCAGGGCACCGATCATGACAAGGCCAAGCTGACCCAGAAACAGGATCCTGGTGGATGACTCTGGGTTGTTAAAGTGTTGCAGAATAAAGTGTAGTCCCACGAATGACTGCATCATTTGCTGACCTTTTTTGTGCAATAATTAAACTACGTGGGATCCAGGATGTGGCCTGTGATGTTCTTCAGATGCTTTAACACCAAAAAAAATTTTTCAAGACCACACATTTTTTAGTGTGACAGGTCTGTAGTTTAACCCCATGATGGAGCTTTTCTTGGGTACCATCTGATGGAATATTTGAAACATTTTTCTTTTTCAGATGTTGAGAGACCCTGTTTACTTCTACCTTTGTGATCTGTCATGGATAAATAGAACATAATTTATTTTGATGCTTTAACATGAAAGCTTATTCATTTAAAATAAATAAGAATAAGCAATTTGAGTTGATGATGTCTTGGACACTCGGGTGAAGAGAGGGGCGGAGCTGTCCACCGACCACCACCTGGTGGTGAGTTGGATACGCTGGAAGAGGAGGAAGCCTGAAAGACTCGGCAGGCCCAAACGTGTAGTGAGGGTCTGCTGGGAACGTCTGGTGGAGCCCTCGGTCAGAGACGTGTTCAACGCCAACCTCCGGGAGAGCTTCTCTCAGGTTCCGAGGGAGGTTGGAGACATGGAGTCCGAATGGGCTGTGTTCTCTGCCTCTATTGTCG